AGTATGATTTTCAGAATTGAAGATTTTATTGATACACTTAAGTCTCAAGCACATAAAAACGTGCAATCTGATATATTGGGAATTTCGATTCATCGATAAATTATTAAAGATAATAATGAAGAAAAGACACTTTCAATCTCACACCGACAAAAGAAGGAACAATTTTTTTTGTATCTTACCTTTTGTTCGACGACTTTTTGTTCAGTTTGGGATTCAGGTAGAGAAGATTGCTGTCAAAATCAAAATTAAATTTCAATAATTAATGCTGAACATTGTTTTTTAGAGAGTATTCTCAAGAATGTATTATTTATTTTCTTGAATCACAATGCAAGATGTAATATACTGTGTGCTTTCTGTAACACATTAAGACACTTATTAGACTGAAAATATCATGCCTCCCTCTCCTTTCTTAGGAAAGCCATTTTTTACACCTACACCTTGTTATTTCATAATAAGGATGAATCATTATGACATCAAACATTAGCCAAAAGCTTAATATATTGTTCCACTGTTAAGGTGAAACTGACACTGGGCGAAGATGGATTTCAATGTTTATGGCAAATATCTCCAGCGTAAAAGAGTTTTTTCATCATCTTGGAAATCTGGTTATGACATATCAATCACTAACTCTGATTCAGGAAACGTGTCAATCTTTGTTTATATATGATTTCCCACTTACATAAAATATACCCTGAAGTACTATTTTCTTATATAAACTACAGTAAACTTTAACCCCTCTCAAGGGGGGGTAACAGGTGGGCCAAAGATAACAAATTTCAAGATTTTGACCAAGTACTTTGTGAACTTTCCATCCATGAAAAAGAGTATGTAGTTCTAGCATATCTAGGTCTGGCAAAGAAGATTGTTAAAATTTTAGCCAACCTGACCACTTTCAGCCCCACCCCTCTGGCCCCTGGGGGATAGTATCCATGTCATTCAGACTATGTTTCTTTCACCACAGAAGCTTCCTGCAAAATTTTACTAAAATTGATTGGGTTTTCTGTTTTTTGACAAGCTGAAAATTGTTTACGACTTTAGGGGCAGACAATGCATGGTGTGACGACACACAAATGGCAATCACAATATATATATATAGGTCAAATAAGACTTTCTCTCATGTGACTTAAAATGATTTCCTTTAAGTGATGAGATGCATTTTATATACATCAATATCTGAATGTGACATTCTTGATCATTAAACCATCATTCTGACTTACTCATCAATCCAGTCTCTTGAAATCATAACTTCTGCAAAGTAGCGAGCATCTTCTATCCAACCATGTACCTGAAAGTCAAGACCAATGTATATGTTACGACATTGTGATTGAAATAACGAAACACATTAATGACATACTTAAAAATTATTGCAAATAAAATTATCATACAATAGTTCCTATTCCCGCTTTGATGGAGCTGGGCAAAACACCTTGCTAAAGAAACTGAGATAAATAAAAAATCTTACCAGAATCGGTGACAGAGAATATAAACCATTGTGACCTACAAGTGATATATTGGTGTAGTGCTCCTCTGGCTTTATCCATGTGCGAGGTGTATTCAAGCAAAAGAGCTAAATCCAGAAGTCTAACCGCACCATATCCAGATACATTTTCAGGAGTACTTCACAATCATGTGATAGAAAAGTCACTTTAAGATTTTGTAGGGACAGATGTTAAGACAGACTGACATGAAACCATCCTTTTTAAGTAAATCCTTGCTCTTAAATGACCACCATTTTCTCATTCCCACAAAGCAGCTTACAATATATATTACTACTCGATTATAATATCTGTTTTGGCAAGGCCAAAGAAATTTGATTACTTGGCTCTCAGGCTCGCTTGCATTTCATTTTGGGGCACCACATTGCCGATTTTATAAAGTAATAAAAAAAAATTGTGAATGCGCCAGTCGCCGTCTTTAAAAAAATCCGGAAAATTGGTCTGCATGTAGTTTTTACTCGTTAGTCACCCAAGTCCCGAAAACGTTTGAATAAAGGGTAAGGATTGATATACAGGCAAGCATTAAAATGATTATGACTCATTAGTCTTGTGTACAAATGGCGCTCATTTTGGTACAAATAAGGACTGGGGGGTTCGTGATTCTCGTCTGGAACATCGTGGGGGGATTTTTCAGAGGCTTTCTCTATGACGGGTCTCAACTATAAAAAGACAAGGTAATGCCCACAATGAATGTTTTACAAACTACACAATAAAAAAAAAATCGCCCTTGTCTCATTTTTGCCATGTAAAATGGGGGGGGGGAAATAACGCCCTGCCGCATCTCTTTTGAAAAAAAATTGGCCTGAGAACCAAGTAATTAATTTTAATTGGCCTAAGAAACCACTTTTGAGTTTTCCTTGACTGGTCGCTTTGTAACAGATTCAAATACTAATATTTTTGTTTCCGTCTCGGGTCAGATATGCCAACTTGTTCAAGGACAAATATAAGAGTGGGATAAAAACTGAACATTTTACAGTACCATTAATATTCAAACACTTCTATTATCTAACAGGATAGTGATAGCCAAATAAAACATGTCCTAAGCATACAACTTACTGAACGCCGTGCAGCTATTTTGTACTGGCCTCGAATGACATCCTTGATCTCGTCTTGCGACACATCCTTCAAGTATCCCAGTTTGTAGATCAGCTTCTTGGCCCGAATCAGTTTGTCACGTTCTGTACTCATTTTACAGAATTGCAGAAAATCCTCTTGTTCCAGATTTGGTTCAATAGGTGGTAGTTTCTTCATTTCCTCAATGATCTCTGTTCCCTCCCCATGTTCCCCATCTGCAGGAGGACAATCATCATTGTGCCCTTGTTTGTGTCCACGCCGGTTCATTCCCTTTTTACCTCTCTGTGGCTTCTCTCTACAATATTCATCCCCTCGCCCGTTTGGTTTTTTAGCTCTCCAATTGTCATCCTGTGGATCCTGTGGTTTAACTGAGTCGGCGTGATCTACAATGGCAGTTTTATTATAATGAATTTTTTTTCGAAAGAAATCAATCAGCATTTCACAGATTGATTTACCATATGGTATACCAGGTAACTTGAGCCCTTCACTGATACAATTTGTATTTGTTAGTATAGCACTGCACATGTAGTTACTATATATTATATATTGTGTACTAAAATTTGCTGTCATGACAAACTTGACTTAATTACCAAGTTAAAAGGTGAAAGTTTTAACGCAGCAAAAATTTCCTTTAATACAATATTAGCAAATTAATCCTTTTAAAAACTAATTGAAAGTTATGAAAAGAATACAAATGTTAGATGTGTATGTTAAAATAAAAGTGGTACATAATTACTCAACACTGTGTTGCTGGTCATTTAAACTTTAATACANTTACTTAACACTGTGTTGCTTGTCATTTTAACTTTAATACATGACAAAAAGCTGGTGACAAAGATCATCATTGACCTCGTTATGACATACAGCAATGCTAACCTTGATTAGCATTCTGATTGGTGTCCTCAGCCGGAAGCTTACTGTCCTTCATCGTGTCCTTCACAGTGACCTCTGACATCTGACCAACAATTTCCTCTAACACAGATGACACTAGCATGCTGGAAAACGAGTCCTCATCAAGGTGACCTGAATTGTTCTCCAGAGTTTCCCTTCCATCTCCTCCTGCTGCTTCAGTTCCTTTTTCTGCAAACAGAATTTCTTGTTTGGTGAAGTCTATGCAAAGAGCATTTAATTATTGCATGTTTTCATTACTAAAATATTCAGCTTGCCTTTAAAGGCAGGGCAGAGGTTGACAGCCTGGCCATGGGCTGACAGCCTGAGAGGTTGACAGCCTGGCCATGGGCTGACAGCCTGAGAGCACAACAACACATATGCTGTCAGGAAACTGAGTCAATAACTGCTTTTTTTTAGCTACAATCACAACTGCAGTATTAAACAAATTCTGTAATTTCTTCCAAATACTTGCAACAACAAGAGCATGGTGAGTGGAAGCATGATGTGCCCGTCTGTGTTTAAATGTCATGATTTAAGAACTCATTCAAAGCATTCAGGTAATGAAACAACCAAGTATTTTTATGAAAGTCGGAGAACAGTTGTTTGAGTTATCGTGTAAACAAGAAATTTAACGGCAAAAATGAAGTACAGTGTAACTGTTGCTTTGTCAAGTGTGATACGCCAAAACGTGGAAAGTTGAAACTCGACAGAAAAACCTGTAATATATGTTAAACATTATTGCTTCTAGCATTACCATACCAAATATTAAACGAATTGATTAAAAAAAAAAAAAAGGACCTGCATTTACTTCACAATGCCCTTATTTAGCAATAAAATGGGCATAGCTCCACCAAAAATGCAAGTTAACTTCTGAAATGCGAATGCATTCAAGCTATATTTGTAAGCAATATGTGTTCCAAGACGGACGGACAACGCAGCCCATACCATAATACGACCCATCGACCCACGGCCGCATAAAAAACTGATGTCATATTTGATATATCAACCAACCATATGCACAAAATGTAATTTTGACAAAAGTGACATCACCCTTACCTGCAGTTGTCCAACATTGCATTGCCAGTCAACATTAGACAATTCTGTACCAAACATGCCTCAATATTATTAAAGTTCTAAACTTGAACATTCTAAATTATTAAAATAAGACTTGGGTTATTAAAGGCTAGGTTGACTCATATAATATCAAATAAAAGAGTAAAATGTTCATGAATTTATGAACATCTTTGGACTAGAAAACGTCAATGAATTGTAGAGGGGTTAATATGCAGCATGAGAAGATTGTTGATATTTAAGAATGCTGAAGTTCAGAATGTTCTTCTGATATTTGTCAGGTCACATCTGAAATTTTACCAACCATTTAATTTTGGAAACAATCATGAAGTCAGGAAATAGTATTGATAGTGCACACTTTTATCTACTTATCAATTTTTCAGGTGTTCCATTTAAATTATATTAATATCACAGATCAACAATGTCTGGTGTGATTTTGACCCTTGACCTCCCCCACCTGTTTTGTCAAGCTTGCTGTTTGTGACTTCCACTGGACTAGAAGCTTTTTCTATCATTACATCATCCGAATCCAACAGAGACTTTTGATCCTGGCTTGATGCTGACACAGCAGCTGATGTTGATTTTATATCCTGGTTCTTTGGAGATCTGCTTTTGCGATTCCTGGGAGATCTTTTACCCTTAGGCATTTCTAATGTGACCCACTCCGACATATCTTGCCCTGTAATAAAGTTTTCATTAATCCTATTATACAAGTTATGGTTAACACTTTAGAGATGTCTTAGTGTTGTTCTGATAATTGATTATAGTCGAAGATCAATCGATTGTCCAATTCAAATTAATTCATTGATAAATTTCATAATCAATTTATCGGTTTAAATGTTGCATGCTGTTGATATCTGTCAGATTTACTCTTACTCAAATTCTAATAGTAGGTTAAAACTAAAAGTGTAAAACTTAGCATAAAAGACTGTCAAATGGATAAACAAAGTCAGCCTTTGATTTTACAAGGCAAAATTACTGTATGCTGCAAATCCTTACTCTAATAATCATAATTACACACATTTCAAATAGATTTACCAGAGTTTGGATGTTCTGATTATAATCGATAATCGTTCATTAAAAGTCTTCCGATAATTGATCATGATTTCCGCTTTCAATTCCCAACACTAGTCTTAGTGATATACATATAGATTTATTGCAAGAAAATTTACAACCAATCTGTGAAATCATCACTAGGCACAAACAACTGAATTATGTAAAAAGCCTGAAACACATTACGTCCACCAATTTGTGACTTTGTTTACCTAAATAGGAATTTGATAATGATTAATGATATTTACATTGTAAATGACTTTTTGACTGCAGTACTACCCAAATAAACGATTTATGAAATAATACTATTTTAGGCATCTTTGATGTCTTTTCACAGGTTAGATGTGATCAACTCTTTGTGTCCAGATTTCAATTCATAAAACTTACAAAAAGAACCACAGCCATAAAATGAAATCTTTTAACATGCACTTAGGACTTTCACTTACACAGAACATCTTGAGCTACCTTTTTTTCTTTTCTTTTTTACATCAGTGAATGGAACAGGATAAATTAATTAGATAAATGTTGTGGGTTAGATGCTCAGGATCAATTTCTTTTCTTGACATTGACAAAAGAAAATTTAAAGTCTTATTAAATCTTGTTCTGTTCTTTTGCATATTTAAATGATGTTCTTCCTCCAAAAATATATTCATGTAATTTCTATGTGTGGTGGTTATTTTTCTCCTTAGTTACCTTGAAACCTGAACATGCTTTTTATATATAGTCTATACTAACCATTGCCACCAGACCTAGGACTAGGACTATCCTCAGACTTGATATCGGTCATTTCACCCTTCCCCTGGTCCTGTTCTTTGTCTGTCACATGCAATGTCTCCTGACCTGAAGGGTCATTCTTGCTCTTAGTATAAAAGACAGAAGTAGACAGTTCTTTATTAGTGACTTCTGAACCAAAGTTGTTTTTGTTGTTTTCATCAGGCGTTGGCACAACAATGTCAGTTGATGCCTCCTTCAAGTTCTCCTTTTTCTGCACAGCTGCCTCTGTTGATACCACGGCTGCATCAACCGATACCTGATCTGACTTTTCCTGAAAGTGTAGAAATGCAGTTAATAACCCCTCTGGACAGATACAGAGGGACAGTGTTTTTGTCCGCTGGACAGATACAGAGGGACAGTGTTTTTGTCCTCTGGACAGATACAGAGGCACAGTGTTTTTGTCCTCTGGACAGATACAGAGGCACAGTGTTTTTGTCCTCTGGACAGATACAGAGGGACAGTGTTTTTGACCTCTGGACAGATACAGAGGGACAGTGTTTTTGTCCTCTGGACAGATACAGAGGGACAGTGTTTTTGTCCTCTGGACAGATACAGAGGGACAGTGTTTTTGTCCTCTGGACAGATACAGAGGGACAGTGTTTTTGTCCTCTGGACAGATACAGAGGGACAGTGTTTTTGTCCTCTGGACAGATACAGAGGGACAGTGTTTTTGTCCTCTGGACAGATACAGAGGGACAGTGTTTTTGTCCTCTGGACAGATACAGAGGGACAGTGTTTTTGTCCTCTGGACAGATACAGAGGGACAGTGTTTTTGTCCTCTGGACAGATACAGAGGGACAGTGTTTTTGTCCTCTGGACAGATACAGAGGGACAGTGTTTTTGTCCTCTGGACAGATACAGAGGGACAGTGTTTTTGTCCTCTGGACAGATACAGAGGGACAGTGTTTTTGTCCTCTGGACAGATACAGAGGGACAGTGTTTTTGTCCTCTGGACAGATACAGAGGGACAGTGTTTTTGTCCTCTGGACAGATACAGAGGGACAGTGTTTTTGTCCTCTGGACAGATACAGAGGGACAGTGTTTTTGTCCTCTGGACAGATACAGAGGGACAGTGTTTTTGTCCTCTGGACAGATACAGAGGGACAGTGTTTTTGTCCTCTGGACAGATACAGAGGGACAGTGTTTTTGTCTCAGCTGGTACCAATGTCCCTTTTTTCAAACATAGAGAAAATGCTTGACTTTTCAGTTATCAATTTTTATACATATTTTAACTATTTATCACACATGTTGAGGTTTCTACTTAAAAGAGCTATAGAAAACAGGATTTAAGAAAGTCAGGGGCCTTTCGACCATTTGCATATTCAAAGGTGTCATGGCTCATACATTTAAGTAAATTTGGATAGATTTTTAGCAACTGGCCCAAGTACCCTTTCTCTTTACAGCAACAGGTGTAGGGTGGCTAGTCTGCCACACCCTGTTGCTCAGTTGGCATTTCTTGGGGCGTCTACCTGGTTCATTATTCAAACAATCATACATCTAATGGCAGGCTTTTAAGCTGGCTAGCTTTACCACTGAACATTGTCGACTTGAGGTTTCAAAAATCTTTAATTGCTGGTCATTCAACAGATCAGTGGGTGTGTATAACATACCTTTACGGCATTGCTGGAGGAATTCTCACCACCACCTTCATTTGAACTCTCAGCTTCACTTTGTCCTGAACCTATCAAAAAGTAACGAATACACAGTAAAATATCAATACATATAAAGGACAGACATTGATATACATGTATTACTCTTGTTTAATTCAATCTGTTTTATTGCCATTTTTCAGCTCGCTCCAGCCAGACACCTTTTTTATTGAACTTGAATAGTAGAATACTATTCAATCAACCTTGCCCTTCTCAGTGAAACCATGCTCTTACAGTATCCCTTGCTACAGCGACACATATTGGTCTGCAAAATGGGTCCCTAATTACCTTGTGCACTCAAGCTAATTAGGTTAGTGATATCTAAGAAGAATATCCAATTTTTCACATCTTTATGCATGCTACCAAACAATATTCAAACCTTATATTATTTAATGTTTGAAAACATGACAATTGGCCTTGGGACTGTTCAGTTTTGAAGACAAAAAATTGTCCACTTTTATAAGTACATGTATAACATTTTAGAGACAATGCCCGATAGAATTGTGAAAGTTAATTAATGCAAGCAATGAAGTCCAGAAAGCAACATCATGATCAGATCTCTAGGTTTTTATCAGGGAATTACCTGGTAGATTAGATTGCTGTCTTAAGTCTGTGGTTATATTGTACATCCTTGTTATGTCCATGCACGAAGGGCGTAAGAATTGTACCTGCTGCCCCCATTGCATGATCGTAAGAGGCGACTAAATTTTGGATCTTATCTTTTCTTTTCTTTCTAAACAACTTTCTTCTTCCTAATGTATCCCTTGACAATGCCTTACTTTTGGCTTTTAGTTGAGCGTTCGCCCCTGTGAGGAAGGCTTTGGGTTCTGTCCCCTAACTGAGACATACTAGAGTCTGTAAAAATGGTGTATTGGTTACATGGTAGTTCCGATATTCTACTTTTGCTTAACGCTCAGCAATATAGGAGTGGAATGACTGATTCGCCCGTTGTCAGTATAATGTGTCCGGGTGGGGTGTCCTGCTTGGTGTCTTCGGCAGTATGCTTCAGTGAGGTAGCACTATAAAGTGGGCATCAGTTCCGTGCTATCACAAGGAGACAAACAGGAACATATTGCAGCCTCCCAAAACACACACGCATACACTACATGCATGCATCTTGCACACAGGGGAGGTCATCCTTAAATTACCATAGCTGTTGATAGGACGTTAAACAATACTAAACCAAACCAAATCAAATGAATACAACTAACTCTGCATGGTCAAATCCTTGTTCGGAATCAAACAAACAAAAGCTATCAATGTTAAGTGCCAAACATGGTTCTGACCAGATCAATCTTAAAATACGGAGCAATAATCTGGGACCCGTACATAAAGACGAACATTAACAAATTGAAAAGCATCCAACGGGGAGGGGCGTGTTTCATGCAGAAGGATTATACAGAACAAGGGAAGAGGGAGTCATGACAAAACTATACTCAAAGAGCTACAACTTCCACCACTAGCATCAAGACGAAAACAACAGAGACTAACATTCTATTATAAAATAGTAGAGGAGCAAATTCCATCAATGCCTAGCAAAGACTTTATTAATTTCCAACGTGGAAAAAAGGAAAACACAACTGATTATTCCAGGACTGCGAGACATCAAGGCCAATTCCAAATTCAATCAGGAACAATAACAGAGCAGTCATAATACCCAACAGCAACACGGAACAATACAGAAACTTACTCTTTGTTCTTATTGATGAAAGACCTTAAAGAAGGGAGTTGGAGATACTTCTATAAGGTCGTTTTATTACGATAATGTTTTTCTTATTAATAAATTTTTGTCTATTTATTTATTTTAACTAAGTTTTTTATAAGAATAAATGATGTGGAAAATATTTGACCAGTGATCATTGAAATTAATTTATATAATAATGATAATAATATAATTTATATCTTTTGCAGAAGCTGTCCAACTTGTCCACATTGAGTGGAAAATTACTGAACAATTTACAAGATAACTCGCGTGTATTTATCACGTGATATGTAAACAACTACGTTCTCATAGTGGTGGTATTCAGCAGTACGCAGATATTTCTACACTGATAAGCCCATCGGCTTGTTAGTGTATTTTTCCCCGGTTATTTGGAGAATCAACTGTAGTTGTTTCTAGTGGTGAGTATCATTTTATTTAATTCGTTTATACCNAGAGAAATAAAATGTTACTCAAAACAGTGTGCTGTTATCTGTTTCTTTGTTATTTTATGTTACCAGTAGCCAGAATTTCCTCTTGCTCTGACACCGGACCAAGACGTTTTGACAGATAGATGTCCCTTACCAGACGTCTACTTACCTGTCAAAATGTCTAAGTCTGGTGTAGGTGCCAGAGGAAACTCTGGCTATGGTACCAGTTGAATGGTCCAAAAGAAAGTTGAGCATCAACGTTGAATTTTGGTACGTTGTTTCAACTTTCCAAATCAAATATAAATTATACGTTTAAACAACGTTGAGCTTCAACGTTGAATAAACGTTTATTCAACGTACATGTACCTGCTGGGATCAATCCCTACCAACCGGGATATAAATGAAGCTAAGTATCGCATGCATACTCATGCAACCCCCTCCACATTAAAGCCATTGTGAGTAATGTGGAGTATAACATTTAGATAGATATAGACCATATATTACACATACCAAAAACTTTACTGCTCAAAGCAGTAAAAAAGCCTTTCAACATGGTCAGTTTGCAGTCCTTTATCCTTTCAGATCATTATATGCTGAAAATAATGGGAAAATGTCAATGATATATGTATGCAGTTATATATAAAATTATTATAACATAGCCACAAAAAAGCTCAAACAATAATTTAATTTGCCGTATAACCTGTAGTAGTCCCTTAACATGGTCCTTCAATATTTCAATTCTCAGAATATTGGGGGAGGGGGTTAGAGTTGCTTTTGTATTAAGTATTATTGTGGGGCTCTTGTAGTACACTCAATGCAAACACAATTGTAAACAATATGAAGCCTTAGCTTAGTTTACAGGTCAGTTTCTAGATTAATTAACTTTTTTCATTGTAACATTTTTTGAACAATCAACGATACATGCACATTCACACACAAAACCACCTTTTCATAATTACACAATTTCTGTCAATTATCAAATACACTGAACGAGCACATTTAGTGACATAAGCTACATAATTTAATAATATCCAGTAATATTTTTTATCTGTAAACGTGTTACTCTACAATTTCATCCTTTTCCCTAGTTGGTGTTTACCTAATAAAATGTGCTTTGTTCCCGCCAACTATCAGGTTGTGAGTAAAATACGAAATTTGTCAAGTTACGAAACTAACAATGGTAGCGATTCCATCTAACAGTTTGATTGCCAAGCTTTAGCATTTATTTATCAATATTACTTTAATTTAATATAATTAACCAACAGAATCAATTGTTAAAAAGATAAAGAATTAATGAAGACAAAAATATTATTATATATTATCTGCTTACAAAAAGGTTGTCTCCCCTGGAGCACCTGTCAGTTTCAAAGAGCACTACTGACAGTGATCGACTGTTTGGTAAACAACATGTCGGACGCAGGTGTGAGGAAGATCTGGGTGGAATTAAAACGACTTGATCTTGGTAAGATGGGGAGTGGTACCGGATCTGTTGTACCCTATAATATGTATTAATTATATAGTATTCATATGTTGCCAGAAACGGCAAAACATATTTCTTTTAGTTCGCCAAATTGATATTGATTCTCTGTGATGATCAAACTGTCAAACAGTATGAATCAATTTTGCTGCATAAATGTACCTCATTGAATGATTATTTATTAGATATTTTTCAGGGCTCGCATGTTTTGCGACAAAAAATTACGTTCCAAAAATTAAAAAAAATGACACCATTTTATCCAAGACAAATGCCAAAAATTCTGTGAATCTGTTATCAATATCAATTCATTTATGTCATGACAAAAAAAAGGTCTCTGAATGTGGCTCGAAGCCTTCTCCGCACCATATGACTCGAAGCCTTCTCCGCACCAAATATATATATAGTGCCACAATGCACCACTGACACATGCAACCCTAATTTCTGTAGGAACTCTATCTAAATCAGAGATCGTTATAAATCTCTGATTTAGATAGAGTTCCTACAGGAATTAATAAAACCCCAATATCCAAAAAAACATGAAATTACAAAAACCTACATGACTTAATTAACACCACATAGAGTGACCAATCATTACTGAGTATGGTGAATGTGCGAGATGTTCACATTACCACAGCTATCACAGATGCTACTATTAGGACAACGCAAGTCACAGACACGTTACATGATACCTTAGACTATTGGGCCAATGTTATAAAATGTCAAGTAATAAATACCTTAATTAAAACCATAACAAACACTGAAATTTGTCCATGCTAAAACAATTTTAAGAACTATAAACATTAACTGGGTTAAGACAATCATATGATCACAATTATACAGTAATTATAACAGGACTATAGATATTGGCTATTCGATGCTAATGGGTATACTCTCTTTTCAAAGTTTCAACTCGTTTGAATTAGCATAAAACAGAATTGTATGGAAAATATGTGACTTTTGCTTATTAAAACTGTTCAAAATTATTGGGTTTCTCCCTGTCAAAAATATTTTGATGGATTTTGATCCGCCATAAGGGTCTTTTTGAACAAAATTGTGTCCAGTTTTGGTGCACACTTTAATTAATATTTTCTTGTGTACCAGAGAATGCCCACATACTTTTTATGCATTGATGGAAAACAAAATTGTCTCATCTAGCTGTGTCAAGAAAAATGTCAAGGACTATTTCAACCATCACATATATTAGTATATAATTTCATCGACCATTTGGTTGACACATGGCTGGATGCATGCAATGTTTCCCAAAAACTACAGTGTCTGTGTTGTAGTTATCAGTTACTGTGGCGCACTATTGGAATTACTGATTTATAGCTAAACAGTACACAAAAAGTATCCTCCAGCACACAAGCAGACTCGAACACACATTGTAGTAAGTGTCAAAATATTCAGTAAGTTTATAGTGGACATCATTGAATTGGTGGAAGTAGGAAAAGAGCCAGCTTTTTTAAATCTGACTTGCTATAGTTTCTTAGTCTTGTTACTTCAGCACTATTTATTGTATTAAATATATACTACTGGCTTTAAGGACTCCCCAGAATACCATGTGACCCAAAGTATACAAATCCGAGAAGATTACGGATCAGACGAGATTCGATCCATCATCAAGGACACCTTCCAGCTACACGATGAAGACATGGTGTTGAAGGTAGGTCTGGGTCACAAACAGGCGAGAACGACAAACATATAGGGCTGGGTCATAAACAGGCGAGAATGACAGACATATAGGTCTGGGTCACAAACAGGCGAGAACGACAGACATATAGGTCTGGGTCACAAACAGGCGAGAACGACAGACATATAGGTCTGGGTCACAAACAGGCGAGAACGACAGACATATAGGTCTGGGTCACAAACAGGCGAGAACGACAGACATATAGGTCTGGGTCACAAACAGGCGAGAACGACAGACATATAGGTCTGGGTCACAAACAGGCGAGAACGACAGACATATAGGTCTGGGTCACAAACAGGCGAGAACGACAGACATATAGGTCTGGGTCACAAACAGGCGAGAACGACAGACATATAGGTCTGGGTCACAAACAGGCGAGAACGACAGACATATAGGTCTGGGTCACAAACAGGCGAGAATGACAGACATATAGGTCTGGGTCACAAACAGGCGAGAATGACAGACATATAGGTCTGGGTCACAAACAGGNATTACACATGGTTTATTTACACGATCACGTTAAGCTGACAATACTCCACACGTACACACGTACCTCTTGACAGGACACCGGAAATAAACGCCACTGGTACGTACACACACTCAATAACTTGCATAACTGTTCATTACACAACCCTCCCCTCAAGATTAATGCGTCCTCGCATTATCAGTTCTCGTCACTTGCCTGAGTGACGCAACAAATAAAACACCCGAAGTAAGTTAACGGATGATAAACAATTGTATAGAGTAACAAGAGAAAGAGATCTACTGCTCGAGTAGAATTAAATGAACACATCAATAGTTTATCAGAAACATTGTCACTCCCACCATTCTTCTTCCGAAATTTCATACAAGGTTGCAGCTCCCTCTACAGTGGTCACTACGCCATCACTGAAAACAGAACTCAGCTCCCCTGAGTCTTGCCTCTCCCATTAAATAAACGCCACTGGTACGTACACACACTCAATAACTTGCATAACTGTTCATTACACAGGCAAGAATGACAGACATATAGGTCTGGGTCACAATGGCGCCACTGGTGACCGCCAGCGCGAGCCCTGATTGACCTGAAGTTTTACTGAAGTTAACTGAAGATGCTACACAATATGAACATTATACATTATCATTTACCTAGGATTTTTCCTGTCTGTAATAAGGGTCTAAATTTGCATTACCAATGACACTTAGATTAAGACTCGTTTCTCCATATTTGCAAGGATCAACTAATGGTAAATGGTTAGATGGTCCAATGTCCAATTGAATTAGACTAGCTCAATAAGTCTATAACAAAATATTTAAACATGTACATTTTACTTTTTTCTTTTTTTTTCAAAAGCGTTTTGATATGGTCAAATACATTTTAAGGATGCTGCATTTTATCACAATTCAGATGTTCATCAAAGAAAAAAGTCATGACCCCCAGCTCAAAGGGCTAATTTTAATTTCATGCATCATAAATTTGCCTACAGAAAAATTATTACTGACCTGGACCGATGACTAAAATGACCTTTCATTTGATCAGTACAGAGAAATTCAAAAAGCAAATAAGGTAGGATTTTTTTTAGATTTGAGGTTTCCGTTGGTTGAAAGCTTTAACAATTTAAGAGTCATGATATAAATGTATGTACATGTACAGGTAGTATTCCAGTAAAATTGTTTTAGGAAATTAATGTGTGTAATTCCAGTAATAGATCCTGTACATAAAACTGCTTTAATGTTTTTATTAAAATGCCACTATAAAAGTAAACAACCATTTACATGAGAATTTTAAAGATCTGTATGTATGTATAAGAACATTGTTATCTCCCTTTGACCAAAAGGTTATTTAGATATGTTTAAAAACTGATTGGATGAGATTTAACAATCAGTATAAATTAAAATTTCTCAATAATATGTTAAAGATGTTTCAAACCATATATCATGTAGTATTTAATATTTAACGTCTTGGTGAATACAAAAATAGAAAAATGATGTTTCCCCTAACATTTGGTTAAAAAATACCATATTTTACTGTCAAACTTCAATGTTTCTAACTTTGAGGGACTATCAGAAATAAAATATACCCCCCACAACAAAGTTAGGGGGGGTATACTGGAATCAGCTTGTCCGTTCGTTCATCCATCTGTCCTTCCGTCCGTAGGAAAAGTTTGTCCACACAACTCCTTCTAAAGTAATGGACTTTATTCCACACATCATGAAATTTGAATCTTTGAATTTCAGTTTATGGGATTACACACCATATACCATTGGACTTAAGGCAATTCAGTGAGACATAGCATCTGAGCCGTCAGCATTATCACAAACTTAAAGTTATACTTTTGTTACGTATAATTGTCATTTGGTTTGATTCACCTTGAGTTTGGGTGTTCAACGGGCACAGTCTCAGTGTTGGTCATGTCTATAATCAATGTTAACTTCTGGGGTGTAGCTGTTTTCCTCCAAAATTTGAAGTGCTAGCTTAACAACATCATGACCATAGTTGTGAAATATCTATTAATTACAACCTGTGTATCAGAAAATTGATGTAGCCTTCATTTCCTGGTCCTGTGCCTGTTATAGTACCTTGTCAATTTTTGCATGTAGCTGTGTGTCCTCTGTTGTGCTTCATCTATATTTACATTTTTACATTTTGCTCTTTTTCTACAGAGGTTGAAGTACAAAAGACTAATTGAACTTTGATGATTAATGGCTATTACATTTTAAGTTTTACATTTAGCTATATTTTCAAGTACCACTAAACAAATTCAACTAAGGATTATAGTTTCTTCATGGGACCCTATGTAATGCTAAATTGAAAAAGATTCAAAACATCCAAATTGGAAAAAGAAAAAAAACTCATAATCTTTCATCAGAATCTAAAATAATTTAATATTCAAGCGGTCATAACGAAACTTGGTCAACATGATCCCTGTTGTCTATAGTGCTAGTTGTGAATAATCTTAATTGTGCCAGATGAGAAAAAAAACCATCAACGGACAGATATTTTGGATTAGGAATTCCAAGTTAATGCTGTATTTCTCAGGAGCTACTGAAGGAATCATGTTGAAACATGGCATACATGATCCCCGTATTCTTAGTGAAGTCTGATTCAGATTTATTCGTAATTTGGAAATAATTATTGTAGAGTATAAATTTGATGTATCTGAAGATAATTTACCTAGATATTACCTCTGATTGTTATGTCCTCATTTACAACATGGCTTCTCCAAAGAGATGTATAAGGTTTATGATGAAGACAATTGCTGTCCTTTCCAAATTCAACATCAGACTGTGGATGATATTTTGACCAATAAATCAAAATTCATTTTTGATGATACAGACCCGGGGGCACTGTCGTTGTGCTCATCATGTCATTGCTGTATTGTTTTGTAATGTGACTGTGCATGACGTACCACATCTAGATACTACAAATAATGATGTAGAATTCTGTGATCTCCATGTTACAACATGTACAAGTCCAAGATGAACTTGATCATCGATCCCAATTTTAGTTTGATTAGGAGACAGTTTATGGAAATGGTCAGATGCTTGCACCTACCGTACACGGATATTATCGGACGATGACATTATTTATGCTGTTAAAAAAACACCTGACGAGATGGGCTTTATGACGATATGAACTTACTTCATGATCAGCTAGCTTGCAATTGTGTGGCCGAGAAACATGGTATTTAGATGGTACTCAATTTTGTTGAACGTACAGAAATGCTTGCATTTGCAAATATTGGCAATTGCAACGCTATGCAGACATTACTTGACGATTGTAAGTAAATCTGTAATTTTTCATACAGCACGTAATACTGATACTCTCGCCCTGGCACACTTGAAGTGTGTATCTTGTATGTGACAAACTGATCGTTATACCAGATCTAATAAAACGTTTCAGAATAATTACTCTTCTCAAAACGATTGTGTTTGTAAAAGAAATGCATATTTATACATGTTTGTTAGAGTTTTCATTGTTAAATGTTGGATATGTGTGCCCAAACAAACAATTAAAGCATTCATCCACCTTCTTTAGCGATATGTATGCATATGTCGTATCGTGATACTTTCTGGTGTATCATATCAAAATTGTTTTGTTTGCCTGTGTTGCGATACACTAACAGTACTGATATTATCAATCAATTTTTATCAACTCTAAAAAAGTGTACTTATTTTTGTGATCCTTCGATTAAAGATCTGGTCCACTGTCACAGTCATACCCAAAAGTACTAAAAAACATAAAAAAAAACTATATTTTGATAGTATATTATTGTAGTCTATGATAAAACTTGATAAAATCTGCACTCAATCATTATTGGGCAGATATATGTGTAACGTGATATGTATGGTATCGTAATCATTGTACGTTTTATACCTCAATACGTATGGTATCGTGAGGTAGGCATATCACTAGTACTGCAGCCCTACTTTTAACAGGGATTATTTGTTGTACCTCCAAAATGTCCTTCAACGCAAGGTAAAAGTATGTTAGGGTTACTTTAATTGGCTCATATAGCTAGGCCATTGTGGATTTTTTATGGATATTGCATGTAAAATGTGTTACTGCTATTTTGGTGAAAGATCGTATACAACATCATGATGATAAACACAAGTCATTGTCAAGGTTGTAAAATTCTACAAACCCCATAGTCTGGGCTATCAATTTGTACTATTGGACAAGATGTTTCTGCCAGGGAACATATCTAAATAATCAATTTTATGAGGAACACCATTAAATTGCCATATCTAAATTTGACAGGGAACACCATTAAATTGCCATGTCTAAATTTGACAAGAAGCACAATTAAATTGCGATGGAAAACTTGACTTCTAAAGGTAGATAATATTTTAATTTTTTGAAATGTGTACAAACTCTCCGAAATATAATATGCCTACGGAACCCAGCAATATTTTAAGTGTAAGTGTACAACTCAATGAATGATCAAGTTCAAAACCTTGCTGTTTTCAATTGATGCTCAACACCATTCGGT